CACTGTAAAACATGGTGGAGGGAGCATCATGGTTTGGGGCTGCTTTGCTGCCTACGGGCCTGGACGGATTGTTGTCATTGATGGGAAAATGAATTCCAGAGTTTATCAAGACATTTTGCAGGAAAACGTACGACCATCTGTCCGCCAACTGAAGCTCCGCAGAGGATGGGTGATGCAACAGGACAATGACCCAAAGCATACAAGTAATTCAACAAAACAATGGCTGCAACAGCACAGAATACGCCTTCTGGAGTGGCCCAGTCAGAGTCCTGACCTCAACCCGATTGAAATGCTGTGGCATGACCTTAAGAGAGAGATTCACACCAGACATCCCAAGAATATTGCTACACTGAAACAGTTTTGTGAAGAGGAGTGGTCCAAAATTACTACAGATCGTTGTGCAGGTCTGATCTGCAACTACAGGAAACGTTTGGTTGAGGTTATTGCTGCCAAAGGAGGGTCAACCAGTTATTAAGTCCAAAGGTTCACTCACATACTTTTTCCTCCCTGCACTGTGAATGTTTACATGTTATGTGCAATTACACCATGGCAACGTCTAATGTTTGTGTAGTATTATGTTCAGCAGACTGTGTTCTTCTATTGTTGTGACTTAGATGACGTTCAGAGCAAATTTTACGCCCAATTCATGCAAAACTCCACGTAATCCCAAGGGGTTCACATACTTTTCTTGCAACTGTAAGGGACCTTCTTCTTACTGAGCACCAATGTAAGGGACCTTCTTCTCTCTGAGCACCAATGTAAGGGACCTTCTTCTTACTGAGCACCAATGTAAGGGACCTTCTTCTCTCTGAGCACCAATGTAAGGGACCTTCTTCTTACTGAGCACCAATGTAAGGGACCTTCTTCTCTCTGAGGACCAATGTAAGGGACCTTCTTCTTACTGAGCACCAATGTAAGGGACATTCTTCTCTCTGAGCACCAATGTAAGGGACCTTCTTCTCTCTGAGCACCAATGTAAGGGACCTTCTTCTCTCTGAGGACCAATGTAAGGGACCTTCTTCTTACTGAGCACCAATGTAAGGGACCTTCTTCTCTCTGAGCACCAATGTAAGGGACCTTCTTCTCTCTGAGCACCAATGTAAGGGACCTTCTTCTCTCTGAGCACCAATGTAAGGGACCCTCTTCTCTCGAGCATCAATGTAAGGGACCTTCTTCTCTCTGAGCACCAGTGTAAGGGACCTTCTTCTCTCTCAGCACCAATGTAAGGGATCTTCTTCTCTCTCAGCAACAATGTAAGGGTCATTCTTCTCTCTGAGCACCAGTGTAAGGGACCGTCTTCTCTCTGAGCACCAGTGTAAGGGACCTTCTTCTCTCTGAGCACCAATGTAAGGGACCTTCTTCTCTCTGAGCACCAATGTAAGGGACATTCTTCTCTCTGAGCACCAATGTAAGGGACCTTCTTCTCTCTGAGCACCAATGTAAGGGACCTTCTTCTCTCTGAGCATCAATGTAAGGGACCTTCTTCTCTCTCAGCACCAATGTAAGGGACCTTCTTCTCTCTGAGCAGCAATGTAAGGGACCTTCTTCTCTCTGAGCAGCAATGTAAGGGACCTTCTTCTCTCTCAGCACCAATGTAAGGGACCTTCTTCTCTCTCAGCACCAATGTAAGGGACCTTCTTCTCTCTGAGCACCAATGTAAGGGACCTTCTTCTCTCTCAGCACACAATGTAAGGGACCTTCTTCTCTCTCAGCACCAATTTAAGGGTCATTCTTCTCTCTGCCGGGGGGTTCAGCTTTAAGATCCCCAATGACTGTGTAATTAATGGGCACTTCAATATCTTCTCCGATCAAAAACCAGACGAAGCCGGATGTTTTGGTCTCCCCACGTCACCGGCATATACGACAGACGAGGAGACATTTGGCTGAACCCTGTGTTAAATCTCAGCTCTCAGCCTCCTCCATCCGTTTCCTGCAGGATTAACCCAGCCGACTGATCCTTTCCGCATTAAACCGTCTAATCCCACCGGACCGATCTGTCTTCACCAGGAGACCCCCATCCTTCGTATTTCTGACCCAGGGTGCACTCCCATTTGTTTTTACATTTCCATCACCCTGATTGGGCAGCTGGAGTAGTGATTACACCGTAAATCAATGAGAGAGACAGTATAGGGGAGTTCAGGAGCCAACAAGCAGCATGTTCTAGCACACGGGTGTCAAACTGGAGGCCCTCCAGCTGTTGCCAACTACAAGTCCCATGAGGCATTGTAAAATTGACAGTTACAAGCATGACTCCCAAAGGCAGAGGCATGATGGGATTTGTAGTTTGGCAACAGCTGGAAGACCGCCAGTTTGACACCCCCACTCTAGTAGATATCAGGTTTAAAGAAAAATACTAGTCAATGTATAAACGTATATCTTATAATTACATAAGTGCAATTAAAATGATCGACCTCCAATGAAGCGAACTGCATTAGCCTTGATGCCATCTATGACTTTCAATGGGACCTCTATACATGAATGGTTGGGGGACGGCAAACAGGTGTAGTGTGTGGGGGGTCCCCCCCTCCCCCTTTCCCCATTGACTACATAAGATAAGGAATAGATGAGGTTTTGAGACAAAGAGGAATAATCGGCACCTTGTAATGTCTGTATGGCTTTCAAAGCTGAAATCTGATCTGCTTATATTTTGCCTTTACTCCCCTCCTCATGAACATATCAATGAAATCTTTCAGTAAAACCTTTCCGTTTTCATTACATATCTTATTTTAGACCTGGTGACACAACCACTGGGTCTCTGTGCCTCTTTTTGCAATGCAGGCAGTTCATGGATGTGGGGAGGGGTCAACAGGGTGCTGTACATACACTACCTTGCCAAAAGTATTGGGCCGCCTGCCTTTCCACACACATGAACTTTAATGTCCTCCCAGTCTTAGTCTGTAGGGTTCAATATTGAGTTGGCCCCGCTCTTTGCAGCTATAACAGCTTCAACTCTTCTGGGAAGGCCATCCACAAGGTTTAGGAGGGTGTCTATGGGAAGGTTTGAGTTGGCCCCGCCCTTTGCAGCTATAACAGCTTCAAGTCTTCTGGGAAGGCCATCCACAAGGTTTAGGAGGGTGTCTATGGGAAGGTTTGAGTTGGCCCCGCCCTTTGCAGCTATAACAGCTTCAACTCTTCTGGGAAGGCCATCCACAAGGTTTAGGAGGGTGTCTATGGGAAGGTTTGAGTTGGCCCCACCCTTTGCAGCTATAACAGCTTCAAGTCTTCTGGGAAGGCCGTCCACAAGGTTTAGGAGGGTGTCTATGGGAAGGTTTGGGTTGGCCCCGCCCTTTGCAGCTATAACAGCTTCAACTCTTCTGGGAAGGCCGTCCACAAGGTTTAGGAGGGTGTCTATGGGAAGGTTGGACCATTCTTCCAAAAGTACATTTGTGAGGTCAGGCACTGATGTCGGACGAGAAGGCCTGGCTCGTAGTCTCCGCTCTAATTCATCCCAAAGGTGTTCTGTGGGGTTGAGGTCAGGACTCTGTGCAGGCCAGTCAAGTTTCTCCACCCCAAACTGGCTCCTCCATGTCTTTATAGACCTTGCTTTGTGTACTGGTGTGCAGTCATGTTGGAACAGGAAGGGGTCATCCCAAAAATTTGGGACATTAAATTGTCCAAAATGTCTTAGTATGCTGACGCCTTACGTGTTCCCTGGAACTAGGGGGCCAAGCCCAACCCCTGAAAAACAACCCCACACCATAATCCCCCTCCACCAAACTTTACACTTGGCACAATGCGGTCAGGCAAGTACCGTTCTCCTGCCAACTGCCAAACCCAGACACGTCCATCAGATTGCCAGACAGAGAAGCATGATTGGTCACTCCAGAGATGTGTCTTTAGATGGGTTTGACTTTAACCCCTTCACGCAGGTGCTTCCTGGCCCTTTAAGGGGTTTCTGACTCTGGGAGGTGGGGTTTAGGATCATGTGACCGCCGTGATTGGCTGTCATGGCAGTCACATGATCGTACAGGCCACAATCGCAAGGAGAGATCAGGACCTTTCTGTCAGACGCCAACACATGTGCTGGGAGCACGCAGGGCACGCGCTCTTAGCACATGCCCGTTTACAAGTGGCACGCAAATATGCAGCCGAGAGGCCACATATTTGCGTGCTGTCTGCGTGAAGGTTAAAGAGACTTTGATCCTGCCTGAGTACCAGACATTGTAACCCCGGCTTCATACCTATGCTTTTTTTAATGCTTTTTGAAGAAACACACAACACAGTCCATTTGACATGGTTTCCTATTGGACATGTTCACATCTATGCTTTTTTGAGCTGCTGCGTTTTTGGAAAGGGACTTTTTTACAGACAAAAAAGCAGTGTTTTTGCTACAATACAGTTCAATGGAGAAGCTGTTGAAACACATTTAGTGCATTTGCCGTGTTTTAACCGCATTTTGCGTTTTATTTTTCCGTCCAGCAAAAAAAAAAAACTGAAAAAAATGCAAAATGCTGTAAAAACGTGCATGTAAAAATGCAAGGAGCAATGCAGAAAGCATTATATAAAAATGGATCAAAAGCAAAAAGCATAGGTGTGAACCAAGCCTAATGTCACATCAAAGTTGCACCTATCCAAAGTTGCATCAAAGTCACACCTATCCATGGCAGTCACATGATCACATCCAAAGTTGCATCAAAGTCACACCTATCCATGGCAGTCACAGGATCACATCCAAAGTTGCATCAAAGTCACACCTATCCATGGCAGTCACATGATCACATCCAAAGTTGCATCAAAGTCACACCTATCCATGGCAGTCACATGATCACATCCAAAGTTGCATCAAAGTCACACCTATCCATGGCAGTCACATGATCACATCCAAAGTTGCATCAAAGTCACACCTATCCATGGCAGTCACATGATCATATCCAAAGTTGCATCAAAGTCACACCTATCCATGGCAGTCACATGATCACATCCAAAGTTGCATCAAAGTCACACCTATCCAAAGTTGCAGCAAAGGCACACATATGACGTCCTCCCATTCTCACCGCGCATGCGTGGCTCCCGGAGTGCAGCAATCGGCGTTGCGCTGTGTCCCTCGGACACAGCGGTTTACCAATCCATGAAAAGACCCGAAGTAATGGCTCGGTCATGTGATCAGCTGTGTCCAATCAGCTGATCACATGTAAACAGGGAAATGCCGGTTATCAGCATTTCTCTCCTCACGAGCTGTCACGCTGACAGAGGAGAGGAGAGACGGTAATCGACATTCCTCAGAGGGGACATGTATACTGATCATCAGTGACCTGATGATCAGTGTGCCCTGATGATCAATGTAGCCCCAGCAGCGCCACCTGTCAGTGTTTATCAGTGCCAGCTCTCAGTGCTCATCAATGCCACCTGCCAGTGCCCATCAGTGCCACATCAATGCCACATATCAGTGCCCATCTGAGCTGCCTTTCAGTATCACCCATCAGTGCCAGGCAGTGCCACCTATCAGTGCTGCCAATCAGTGCCAGTCTGTGCCGCCTATCAGTGCCAGTCAGTGTTGCCTATCAGTGCCATATATGAGTGCTGCCTTTCAGTGCCCATCAGTGATGCCTGTCAATGCCCATCAGTGCCACCTACCAATGCCTCCTCATCAGTGCCCATCAGTGCCACCTATCAGTGCCCATCAGTGCAACCACATTAGCGCACATCAGTGAAGGAGAAAAATCACTTATTTACAAAATTGTATAACAAAAACTAAGAAAAAAAATTTTTTTTTCAAAATTTTCTGTGTTTTTGGTCTGTTTAAGAAAAAATAAAAAACCCCGAAGTGAATAAACACTACCAAAATAAAGCTCTGTCAGAAAAAATGATAAAAATTTCATACGGGTACAGTGTTGCATGACCGCGCAATTGTCAAAGTGTGACAGCGCTGAAAGCTGGAAATTGGCCTGGGCAGGAAGGGGGTATAAGTGTCCTGTAGGCCAGGGGTTAAAGATGCTGGAACTTTGGGTCGCATAGATTTGAATGGCTCCCATTGAAATACACGGGATGCGACTTTAAGTGTCCAGAGTCGCATGACAAGTCGCACGAGTGTTATTAAAGCCTGAGCGGGCGGGGTTACGTTTCACTCCTGAACCTAAACACACCTGCTATCCAAATCTCCCATTTGGCCGGATCTCTGTGTTTGACTTCCTGGCTCTGCACGCCTGCTGCAGATATTATGCGAGGACGCAGGACCCCTCGTTCTGTGTTTTCATATTTGTTTTAGGTTATGGAGAACACAAAAGGAAGGCTTGTTGAACAGGAAAAAACAAAAAAAAACGCCAAGTTGACAGGAATGCCACCAGACTCTGGAGGAGATACAGCAATATACAAAGCCAGGGAGGATAAGGACGGCCATCAGGCTCACACTACAATAAGGTGCTGGGGGGGGGGGGGGGGGATAAAAACGTGGGGAAAGGAACCAAATGTGTCTAAAAACTGGATGTGTTCTCATGACGTTGTCATATAATAGCGAGAAACTTGTGTTCAAGGCTCAGAAAATGAGCTGCATTTCCCCTGACTGTCCCTAGGGGGCTCTGCATGTCTATACACAGTCACAGGATGTAAACAAGCACCATATGGCACTGTGACCTGTCCGTGAACACAGCACGCCAAAGACCGGGCCCAGCACACTGCATGGAAAGAAGACAGGGCCCAGCACACTGCACGGAAAGAAGAGCGGGCCCAGCACACTGCATGGGAAGAAGATCAGGCCCAGCACACTGCATGGAAAGAAGACCGGGACCAGCACACTGCATGGAAAGAAGATCGGGCCCAGCACACTGCATGGGAAGAAGATCGGGCCCAGCACACTGCATGGAAAGAAGATCAGGCCCAGCACACTGCATGGAAAGAAGATCAGGCCCAGCACACTGCATGGAAAGAAGATCGAGCCCAGCACACTGCATGGAAAGAAGATCGGGCCCAGCACACTGCATGGAAAGAAGAAGATCGGACCCAGCACACTGCATGGAAAGAAGAAGACCGGGCCCAGCACACTGCATGGAAAGAAGAAGACCGGGCCCAGCACACTGCATGGAAAGAAGATCGGGCCCAGCACACTGCATGGGAAGAAAATCGGGCCAAGCACACTACATGAAAAGAAGATCGAGCCCAGCACACTGCATGGAAAGACCGGGCCCAGCACACTGCATGGAAAGAAGACCGGGCGCGCAGCACACTGCATGGAAAGAAGACCGGGCCCAGCACACTGCATGGAAAGAAGACCGGACCCAGCACACTGCATGGGAAGAAGACCGGGCCCAGTACACTGCATGGAAAGAAGATCAGGCGCAGCACGCTGCATGGAAAGAAGAGCGGGCCCAGCACGCTGCATGGAAAGAAGTGCAGGCCCAGCACGCTGCATGGAAAGAAGACGGGCCCAGCACACTGCATGGAAAGAAGACCGGACCCAGCACACTGCATGGGAAGAAGACCGGGCCCAGTACACTGCATGAGAAGATCAGGCTCAGCACACTGCATGGAAAGAAGATCGGGCCCAGCACGCTGCATGGAAAGAAGAACGGGCCCAGCACGCTGCATGGAAAGAAGAACGGGCCCAGCACACTGCATGGAAAGAAGATTGGGCCAAGCACGCTGCATGGAAAAAAGACCGGGCCCAGCACACTGCATGGAAAGAAGACCAGACCCAGCACACTGCATGGAAAGAAGACCGGACCCAGCACACTGCATGGAAAGAAGACCGGACCCAGCACACTGCATGGAAAGAAGACCGGACCCAGTACACTGCATGGAAAGAAGACCGGACCCAGCACACTGCATGAGAAGAAGATCGGGCTCAGCACACTGCATGGAAAGAAGATCGGGCCCAGCACACTGCATGGAAAGAAGATCGGGCCCAGCACACTGCAAGGAAAGAAGATCGGACCCAGCACACTGCATGGAAAGAAGATCGGGGCCAGCACACTGCATGGAAAGAAGACCGGGCCAAGCACACTGCATGGAAAGAAGACCGGGCCCAGCACACTGCCTGGAAAGAAGATTGGGCCCACCACACTGCATGGAAAGACGACTGGGCCCAGCACACTGCATGGAAAGAAGATCGGGCCCAGAACACTGCATGGAAAGAAGACCGGGCCCAGAACACTGCATGGAAAGAAGACCGGACCCAGCACACTGCATGGGAAGAAGACCGGGCCCAGCACACTGCATGGGAAGAAGATCGAGCCCAGCACACTGCATGGAAAGAAGACCGGGCCCAGCACACTGCATGAACAGAAGACCGGGCCCAGCACACTGCATGGAAAGAAGATCGGGCCCAGCACACTGCATGAACAGAAGATCGGGCCCAGAACACTGCATGGAAAGAAGATCGGGCCCAGAACACTGCATGAAAAGAAGATCGGGCCCAGCACACTGCATGGAAAGAAGACCGGACCCAGCACGCTGCATGGAAAGAAGACCGGGCCCAGCACGCTGCATGGAAAGAAGACCGGGCCCAGCACGCTGCATGGAAAGAAGACCGGGCCCAGCGCACTGCATGGAAAGAAGACCGGGCCCAGCGCACTGCATGGAAAGAAGACCGGGCCCAGCGTACTGCATGGGAAGAAGACCGGGCCCAGCACACTGCATGAGAAGAAGATCGGGCTCAGCACACTGCATGGAAAGAAGATCGGGCCCAGCACACTGCATGGAAAGAAGATCGGGCCCAGCACACTGCATGGAAAGAAGATCGGGCCCAGCACACTGCATGGAAAGAAGATCGGGCCCAGCACACTGCATGGAAAGAAGATCGGGCCCAGCACACTGCATGGAAAGAAGATCGGGCCCAGCACACTGCATGGAAAGAAGATCGGGCCCAGCACACTGCATGGAAAGAAGATCTGGGCCAGCACACTGCATGGAAAGAAGACCGAGGCCAGCACACTGCATGGAAAGAAGACCGGGCCCAGCACACTGCATGGAAAGAAAACCGGGCCCAGCACACTGCATGGAAAGAAGACCGGGCCAAGCACACTGCATGGAAAGAAGACCGGGCCCAGCACACTGCATGGAAAGAAGACCGGGCCCCAGCACACTGCATGGAAAGAAGACCGGGCCAAGCACACTGCATGGAAAGAAGACCGGACCCAGCACACTGCATGGAAAGAAGACCGGACACCAGCACGCTGCATGGAAAGAAGACCGGGCCCAGCACGCTGCATGGAAAGAAGACCGGGCCCAGCCCGCTGCATGGAAAGAAGACCGGGCCCAGCGCACTGCATGGAAAGAAGACCGGGCCCAGCGCACTGCATGGAAAGAAGACCGGGCCCAGCGTACTGCATGGGAAGAAGACCGGGCCCAGCACACTGCATGAGAAGAAGATCGGGCTCAGCACACTGCATGGAAAGAAGATCGGGCCCAGCACACTGCATGGAAAGAAGATCGGGCCCAGCACACTGCATGGAAAGAAGATCGGGCCCAGCACACTGCATGGAAAGAAGATCGGGCCCAGCACACTGCATGGAAAGAAGATCGGGCCCAGCACACTGCATGGAAAGAAGATCGGGCCCAGCACACTGCATGGAAAGAAGATCGGGCCCAGCACACTGCATGGAAAGAAGATCTGGGCCAGCACACTGCATGGAAAGAAGACCGAGGCCAGCACACTGCATGGAAAGAAGACCAGGCCCAGCACACTGCATGGAAAGAAAACCGGGCCCAGCACACTGCATGGAAAGAAGACCGGGCCAATCACACTGCATGGAAAGAAGACCGGACCCAGCACACTGCATGGAAAGAAGATTGGGCCCACCACACTGCATGGAAACAAGACCGGACCCAGCACACTGCATGGAAACAAGACCGGACCCAGCACACTGCATGGAAAGAAGACCGGACCCAGCACACTGCATGGAAAGAAGACCGGACCCAGCACACTGCATGGAAAGAAGACCGGACCCAGCACACTGCATGGAAAGAAGACCGGGCCCAGCACACTGCATGGAAAGAAGACCGGACCCAGCACACTGCATGGAAAGAAGACCGGACCCAGCACACTGCATGGAAAGAAGACCGGACCCAGCACACTGCATGGAAAGAAGACCGGGCCCAGCACACTGCATGGAAAGAAGACCGGGCCCAGCACACTGCATGGAAAGAAGACCGGGCCCAGCACACTGCATGGAAAGAAGACCGGGCCCAGCACACTGCATGGAAAGAAGACCGGGGGCTCAGCACACTGCATGGAAAGAAGACCGGACCCAGCACACTGCATGGAAAGAAGACCGGACCCAGCCCACACTGCATGGAAAGAAGACCGGACCCAGCACACTGCATGGAAAGAAGACCGGGCCCAGCACACTGCATGGAAAGAAGACCGGGCCCAGCACACTGCATGGAAAGAAGACCGGGCCCAGCACACTGCATGGAAAGAAGACCGGGCCCAGCACACTGCATGGAAAGAAGACCGGGCCCAGCACACTGAATGGAAAGAAGACCGGGCCCAGCACACTGCATGGAAAAAAGACCGGGCCCAGCACACTGCATGGAAAGAAGACCGGGCCCAGAACACTGAATGGAAAGAAGACCGGGCCCAGCACACTGCATGGAAAGAGGACCGGGCCCAGCACACTGCATGGAAAGAAGACCGGGCCCAGCACACTGCATGGAAAGAAGACCGGGCCCAGCACACTGCATGGAAAGAAGACCGGGCCCAGAACACTGAATGGAAAGAAGACCGGGCCCAGAACACTGAATGGAAAGAAGACCGGGCCCCAGCACACTGCATGGAAAGAAGACCGGGCCCAGCACACTGCATGGAAAGAAGACCGGGCCCAGCACACTGCATGG